TGGAAAGGAAGAACTAAAACTATCCTTATTCATATGTGACGTGATCTTATATATTGAAAATCCTAGGAATGAAATTAAGAAAATTTCATTTACCATAGTATCAAAAAGGATAAAATACTTAGGAATAAATTTAACAAAAGAAATGCAAAACTTGTACACTAAAAACTATAAAACGTCATTGAAAGAAATCAAAGACGACGTAATAAATGGAAAAACATCCCATGTTCGTGATCAGAAGATGTAACATTACTAAGATAGCAGTGCTCCCATGCTGATCTGCAGCCTCAAGGCGGTCTGTATCAGAATCCCAGCTGCCTTATTGCAGAAATTGGCAAGCTGATCCTAAAATTCATATGGAAATGTGAGGGACCCAGAATAGCCAAAAAAATCTTGAAAAAGAAGAACCAAGTCGGAGGACTCACACTTCCCAATTTCAAACTTACTACAAGGCTCCAGTCATCAAGATAGTTTGGTACTTGTATGGAATGGATGTATGAAATGAAACTGAGAGTCTGGAAATTAACCTTTAGATTTATGGTTAGTTTGTTTACAAGACCACCCAATGGGGAAAGAATAGTTTTTTCAACAAAAGGTGCTGGCACAACAGGGTAGTCAAATGTAAGAGAATGAGGTTGGACTCCTACCTCATACCGCATACAAATATTAACTCAAAATGGATTATAGACCTAAATGAAAGAACTAAAACTATAAAACTCTTAGAAGAAAACGTAGGAGTAAATCATCATGACTTGGATTAGGCAGTGGTCTCTTAGACATAACCCCAAAGCACAAGCTGCCCAAGATAACATCAATGAATTAGACTTCATCACAATGAAAAACTTTTGTGCTTCAAAGGATATCATCGAGAAAGTGAAAAGACAACCTATAGAATTGGAAAAATATTTGCAAATCATATGTGTGATAAGGAGCGTGTATTCAGAATAAGTTAAAAATGGGCAAAAAATTGAGTAGATATCCATCTGAAGAAGATATACAAATGACCAATAAGCACATGAAAAGATGCTCAACGTCGTTAGTTGTTAAGGAAATCAAAACCGTGGTGAGATGCCGCTTTATACCCACTAGAATGGCTAAAACAGAAAACACAGACAAAACAAATGTTGATGAGGATGTAGAGAAATTGGAACCCTCAAACATTGCTAGTATGATTGTGCAATTTGTAGCTGCTTTGAAAAATAGTCTGGCGCGTCTTCCAAAGGTTGAACATACAGTTACTACTTGACCCAGCAATTCTACTCCTAGGTATTTAACCAAGAGAATTGAAAATATATGTCCATACAGAAACTTGTATATGAATGTCCATTGCAGTATTATTTGTAAAAGCCAAAAGGTAGAAACAACCCAAATGTCCACCAGTAGATGAATAGATAAACAAGATGTGGTACATCTGTGCAATGGGCTGTTATTCATTCGTAAATGAAGTACTGACACGTGTCACCATGTGGGTGAGCCTTCAACATATCACACTGAGTGAAAGAAGCCAGACACAAAGGGAGATACATTGTGTAATTTCATTTACATGAAATGTCCACTATAGGCACACTCATAGAGACAGCAGATTAGTGGTTACCAGTTACTTGGGGGAGAGAGGAATGGGAAGTGACTGCTCATGGGTACAGGGTTTCTTTTTGAGGTGATGAAAATCTTTTAAAATTAGATAGTGGTAATTGTTGCATAACCCTGTGAATTATACTAAAAACCAATGAACTGGACACTTTAAGAGTCAGTATTGTGGTATGTGAATTGTATGTCAGTAAAGCTGTTATAAAGAAAAGGAGCATTAACAGATGAACATTTGTAGTTGATTTTGATGGTAGAGAACACTAACTCTGAAGCCCAGTTAAGCAAATGTTCTCTCGCCCCCAAAAAGAGCTCCATTCTACTCATTAGTAGATATGAATTACAAAAAAATTGTATTGAATTATACTTTGAATTTCATCAATAAAAAAATTGTGAAAATTTCTTTTCTTTTTTTTTGTAGAAATCCCTACATTATATCCTTGATTTATCCTCTTGGCCTGTAAAGTGTCAAATATTTACTACCTGGCCTTTTACCGACAAAGTTTGCTGTCCCTTGCTGTGGCACATTGTTTCTTCTGCCTGGTGTTCCCCCTCACCCTAGCCCAGACTTCCATTCATTCTGTAAGACTCTGCTTCAGTGACCTTCCTTCTGTAGGAAGCCTTTGCTTACCAACCAGGCCAAGAAAAGAATGTGCCTCTTTTGTGTTTCCTAAGTGCTTTCAGTAGACCTTTACAATATCGGCAGCCATGCCGCAGTTGTTCGCTCACGTGTCTATTTCGCACTGGACTGTGTACCTGTGGCAGGCAGGGACTGTGTTGTATTCGTTCTTATATTCCTAGTGCCACAAAGAAGACACCTAATTGATTGCTGGATGAATGGATGGATCCATATTCATGTATAAACAAAGGGATGCCAGCCAGGAGACATAAAGCTAGTGCCAGATGCCTGCTCTAGGTGGAGGTGGACAGGGGTATTTCTCATTTCTCTATTCTTGACGCGTATGTTTTCCAGTAAGAAAACAGAAACTTTTGACTATTAGAGGAGTATGACCTAATTACAAGAAGAATAATAGTACACTACCCCTACTCACCAAGAGACAAGCTCCTTGGTAATCTCTTAGTACCTTTCTCTCAAACTTTTAATGCACATTAAGGGGGGTGTGTGTGTATTTTAACTAAAAATGAGATGATACTGTTGCATAAACTACTTCTCGTATATATTGTGAATAGCTTTTCATGTCAATAAATATGCTTCATAATGTCTTCAATGGCTATAATATCTTGTTGCCTGGATGAGTCATAACTTATTTAACCAAGTCCTTCTTATTTGACATTTAGGTGGTTTCTACATGTTTGCCATTGTTGACAGCTGTTTGATAGACATCACCTTAGCTAACTGTGCACACTTTGGTGATTATTTCCTTAGGCTAAATTCCCAGAAGTAGAATTATTGGATTAACAGTACATGTACAGGGGCCAGCCCGGTGGCACGGTGGTTAAATTCGTATGTTCTGCTTCGGTGGCCCGGGGTTTGCCGGTTTGGATCCCGGGTGCGGACCTATGCACTGCTTGTCAAGCCGTGCTGTGGCAGGTGTCCCACATATAAACTAGAGGAAGATGGGCACGAATGTTAGCTCAGGGCCGGTCTTCTTCAGCAATAAGAGGAGAATTGGCAGCAGATATTAGCTCAGGGCTAATCTTCCTCAAAAAAAAAAGGTGCATGTACACATTTAAGATGTTTGGTACGTGTTGTCAAACTGCCGTCCAAAGGACCGCGTGTCCATGTGGAGTTTGAAGGTCCCTCTGTCTGTATAATAAAGCTGTATTAGGGCCTTTGAGTGTGCGTCACTTCTGCTGAGCCACAATACAGCTTCAGCAGACACGCGCTTACACTGCTCAGGAAGGAGAAAGCCGATCTCAGCAGCTCGAACAAAAATGAGTCGTGTTTTCAATAATTACACAAATAACTTTTATACCCCCTTTGTTTTATACCCTATGAACAATAGAGAAAATGGCAACATTTTTCTCTGCCTTCAGAAGCTTCAGATCTCCATTGCTAGGGTTCTGTCTTCTGTTCCTATTAAAGGACAAGCCCTATCTCCAGAAAATATCATTGATCAAAAATGTCAGGTTTCAAGTGTGGTCTAGCCAAACATGTTAGATAAATGGAAACATAGTTCTTACTTGACCATCAAGCACATTTTCTCTTGGAAAATGGAATTGACACCACTCAGCCAGAAAATGTTTTTCAGGTTCATGAGATCTGCAGACATGCCCATGAAATTAAGTAAAAGTATGCTAATTACAATGAGTGAAGAGGGAAGCGTGTTTTCTCCCACTCTTATCTGGTGGCATAAAAGTCATTTTTATGCATTGAATCAAAGTAAAAATTGGGTTAGACAGTTTGATAGTGTATGATTTGATGTTAAAAAATCTTTTGAATTAATTATTATTATGCTTTCCCTGCTTTATCTCATCTCACTCATTTACTCACGTCTGTTTCCTGAGGGCCCACTGTAAGCCAAGTATTCTTCTAAGTAATTTTCTTAATTTTGCCACTGTCGATCTTTCTAATCTGTTTTTTCCCTTGTTGTCTGTCCACTGGTTTTAATTATCAAATGAGAGGCTCTTTTAAAGATGAAACAAAGTAGCAAAGCAATTAAAAATATTAAAGTTCCAGTTTAGGGAAATAGCTGAGTAAACCTGTATCTTGGAATATTTAAAGCCAAAGAATTTGTAGTAACATGGGGATAATGTTTACAATATAATAAGTTAAATCAAGTCCAAAATTATACAAATAGTGTGAATTCAATTATGTGGGGTTTTTTAAAGCATACAAAAAAGACCAAATGAAGCAGATCAAATTGTTCTAGTTTTCACTGGGTGGTAAGATCATGGGTGATTTTGCCTTCTTATTCCTGCTTTTCAAGTTTTCTTCAGATTTCTATAATGGCATGTATAATCAAGGGAAAAAACCTTAAAATACTGACAAAATATTTTATAGCTGTTGTTTTTAGACTACAAGATACAGAAAATAGGGATTGAAGCATTTAACTGTTGATGTTAAAATCTGATAGTAATGTGAACATCCATTATTGCAGAGTGGGAAAGACAGAAGAGAAAACTTTTAATTGTGTATATAGTTTAGAATTTATACTGAAATTTAAATGATAATATTTACGTACAAATGTCTGAGTCATTTATTAGCATTCACTATAAATATAAGTGGGTCAGATTTATTAAGATGATAAATAATAATCTTAATAGGTACCCACCAAATGGACTGTCCTGAAGTGCACTGAGTGACAGTGCTCTGTGCTCTCTTCATTGATCTGTGGGCACCATCTGTGAATGGATGTATCTGGTAGGGCAATGTATGTGTAAGCATGTGGAAAATAATTGTGTTTGAAACTTGCTGTTTAACCATGTTCATTGAACCTTGTCCAATCTTCTTTTAGGAGAATGACATCTTCCTGGGCTGGGAAAAAGGAGCTTCTAAGAAATGGGGAAAGAGTAAGAAAAAGTGCTCAGATCTAACTGTAGAAGAAATGAAAAAACAGGCTGCTGTCCAGTGTCTTCGATCTGCCTCTGATGAGGTAGGTTTGCATTTTATTTCTAATACTTCAGAGGAGGAAGAGGGGGCAGGGGAGTGTTTTTTTAAAAGTTTACAAATACAACATCTCGACCAAAAATCTTAGAGAAGTAAACCATTCATCATCTCACCACTGTAATGTGAGCATTGTCACCTGTTCCTTTTTGACGTGTTTCTATATATACACAAAATCTTGTATCCTTTTTGCCCATTTAACATATATTTCATCTTGTTATTACATTATCTTTATTCTTTTTAGTGGCTAAGTTATATTTAATCAAATAATATTCCAACAGCAATATAATATGCTGGTTATTACTGGATATTTTGCTTGTTCTTGATTTTTTGTTATGCTGTCTAGAATATTTTCATGTGTGGCTTTTCCATGGTCTATATTATTTCTTTTGGATACATTTCTAGAAGTGGGATAGCAGTTTTAACATTTTAAGAACACTATATTTGCTTATGATTCATAAACTTTTTATTTTTTATTTATTTTTTTGGTGAGGAAGGTTGGCCCCGAGCTAACATTGGTTGCCAGTCTTCCTCTTTTTGCTGGAGGAAAATTGTCGCTGAGTTAACATCTGTGCCAGTCTTCATCTGCTTTGTATGTGGGATGCTGCCACAGCGTGGCTTGATGAGTGGTGTGTAGGTTTGCCTATGGGATCTGAACCCCAGGCTGCCGAAGCAGAGCACGCCAGCTTAACCCCTACACCACCAGGCCGGCCCCATGATTCATAATTTTTTGCTTTTTAGAAAATAAAAGATTATTAATCTTTTAACACTTCATATAAAATATTGCTCATGTCCTTCAGCATCCTGAAATAACAAAACAGTTTTAGAATATAATCACCTATTTAATACTATGCATTCTTGTTTTGTTACTCACTGTAAGATGTAATCTCTGAGGTCATAACTACTTAGAAGATTATTTTGCTTTTACCATGCTATTTGACGTGGTGTCGTTTAAGTAACTTTATAATGTGAAGTTAAATTGAAAGGGTTCATACAAGTTATCTAGAGAGGATCCGTCCACCAGAAGCTTCCTTCCTGAACTACGCTATCTGATGGTCTGAGGCTGGGATGACCAGCTTTGCTCCGTTTGGTAATCGGTAGGAGTTTATCGTGCCTGGCTACCACCTACCACATGTGATTTTAAAGCTCGTTCAGTGGTCCCCAGCTGTGTGTTCTCACGCTACTTAGAATTGTCTGTCAGAGCCCAACTCCCTGGCACGTACTCGTGGTATCTCTCGTGTGTCTCAGGTAGCAGGCCCTCACATCCTAAACTGCATTGTTCGTTTCTGTCTGCCTTCCTGACTCTCCTCCTTGGGTGGCAAAACTGTGAGTTACCCATCTTTTCATCTCCTAGTGCTGAGCAGATTGAATACCGATCGCATAGAAGGTACTGAATTTCTCTTGACTTGAACACTCCATTTTTAAAGAGTCTGTCCTTTTCATCTTACCCTGCTTTTTTTTTTTTTCTCGTTCCACTGTTTTTTCTTCCCCATCCCTTTAATTTTTAATTTATTTTTTGGTGAGGAAGATGGGCCCTGAGGTAACATCTGTTGCCAATCTTCCTGGGTTTTTTTTTCCGCTTCAGGAAGATTGTCCCTGAGCTGACATATATGCCAGTCTTTCTCTATTTTATATGTGGCATGCCACTGCAGTATGGCTTGACGAGCAGTGTATACGTCCGCGCCCAGGATCTGAACCTGCCAACCCTGGGCTTCCGAAGCAGAGCTTGTGAACTCAACCACTATGCCACTGAGCTGGCACCCCCACCTCTTTAATTTTTAACCTTTCATTTCTGGAGACTGCTGCCTCATAGATTAGGGGATAGTTTAGAAGTTAGTGCTCATGTGGCCATCTTAGTCAGGTACCATTTCATTACAGCAAGTAGGAACATAACCTAGTTTAAGAAGAAATGGGACTTTACATAAAGATACAGGAATACCTCACTGAAACCAAGTGCTGGAGGTGGTGGCCTGAACTGGGAACTAAATGATTGGCAGCCAAAGTCATTTTCTCTAATGACCCACAATCTCTCGTCTGCTTCTCTCTTTGCTTCTGGGTCATTCCTTCTCTATCTGAAGTCTGGCCTTTTCTTCTTCAGTGTACACATGGTGAAAAAACAACCATTCCAGCCCCAGCCCAGCATAACTGCTGGAGGCTAGTACCCAACACCATTCAATTAGAGAATCTGATTGGTTAGGCATGGGCCAGAAGTCTACCCTTGATTTGATAGGCTTCTGGGAGGGGACAGAGTTGCCTGGAGGTCCACTCCTTCAGCAGTGGCTTTGAGTGATGGACAGTCCTTAGAGAAAAGGGGATGATTGGGGCCGGCCTGGTGGCATAGCAGTTAAGTTCATGCACTCTGCTTGAGTGACCCGGGTTCGCCAGCCTGGATCCTGGTCGCAGACCTATGCACTGCTTATCAAGCCATGCTGTGGCAGGCATCCCACATATAAAGTAGAGGAAGATGGGCATGGATGTTAGCTCAGGGCCAGTCTTCCTCAGCAAAAAGAGGAGGATTGGCAGTTGATGTTAGCTCAGGGCTAATCTTCCTCAAAAAAAAAAAAAAAAGAAGGGGGTGGGGATGGTTGGACAATTACCCAAAAGTAAAGGTGTTTTCTGCATGACACTGAAGGAATAGATTGGTAAAGTAATTTGCAGCTTTTAAAGGAATTCAAAATGCAGATGGTTTCTAAAGTGAGAGGTTAGTTCAGGTAAATTCTTTGAGCAAAATCTGAAGAACCTGCTGAGTCATGGTTGGGAGGAAAATATGAGTAGCGAGTTTCAATCTGGGAAAGGATCTTATTTCTGCTTTGGACCAAAGTCGCTGAGAAATGACTCTAGCCTTTGACTCACGGTGAAGCTGAGTGGAAAAACAAGGACAGCTGAAATCAGCCGTGAAGAAATGAGGAGTGTGGATGCCTTATTGTAGCATACTGAAGACGCTGCTCCCATAGCTTGTTCAGTTTGTGTATAGTTCATCGTGGCTGAGTATGCTGTGTGCTGGAAGGAACTTGGTGTGAAGTAGAAACAGTGCAAGGGAAGGATTGTGGCTCGCAGAGGTCTTTTATTCTTTACGTTGTTGCTTTGGAAAAATGCTTTCCTTTACCTGGCTGGCAAAGGTGGGATTTTTGTTTTCAAACCCAATGAAGCATTTGTCCTATCTTATTCTTTCCTTCTCATTTTATAAAAAATTATTACATTGCTTTTTCCTAATAACGATTGTTTTTAATTTTATCAAATTAAAATAGGCTGAGGAAATGAATGTGCCAGGCAGATACCAGGAGCTGGGTGAATGCTCGGGGAACCCCAGTGCCCTGTTCCAGAGCTGCCTGCTGTCCTGTGTGTGTCAACACCCAGACCCCGGAAGCCAGCTCTCCTGGCTCTTGGGAGCCAGTGGAAAGAACTTGAAAAGAACCCTCTTTAATTATGGCCTGTGACAATAGAGAGGAATCACTGTGGTTGTTGATGAATTGTAGGCCATCTGTGTGTCCCCTGGCTTTTCTTTCTAGTCTTTCTGGTGGATTCAATGAAAAGAAAGGAACAAAGAGGCCCTACATAGGATATTATAATGCAAAAGTTTTATTTCATGTTTTGGCCGCAGGGAATGTTTGCATATGGGTATGTTGTTCATTTCTTAAATATGGAGGGTGGTAACGTTCGTGGTTCTCTGCTTCATTTTCCACCCAGTCTAAATGCTGGCACTTTACAGTCAGTCCCAACTGACCAGAATCAAAAGCCACTAATGGGTTTAGAGTTTAGTTGATTAAAATGTTAATCACATAATTATGAGACAGTAACATAGGTGATGTTCTCCTTATAGTAAGTAGGTAGGTAGGGAGAGGTGATGTTATGCATTATATGTAAACTGAGTTCTTTTCTCCTTACTTTGTGTGTGCCTGTCTGACACTTACAGGGGCATTGTTAGCGCTCTGCAGAAGGAGCGTCCTGGTTAGGTAGAGCAGCTGACACTTACAGGCGAATGTTAGCGTTCTGCAGAAGCAGCGTCCTGGTTAGGTAGAGCGGCTGACACTTACAGGCGAATGTTAGCGCTCTGCAGAAGCAGCGTCCTGGTTAGGTAGAGGGCTGACTTCTCTGGCTCCACCTTTACATCCTTGTCATGTGACACTGCTCCTCCACTTTGTTCTTGCAACAAGTTTTACCCCACATTACGGCACATCTCTGTGACCTGCTCAGCTCAATATTTCATCTGAGAGATGTCGCCAAGACAGTATGGAAACTCAGTTATGTCAAAATTTAATTTTATATGCTGATTAAAATTTGGCGACACCTGTGAAGACCTGTAAGCGGTGGGTGCGTACTTGTTCCTCCCGGAGATCGCGAGCTTTCGTGTGCTTTGTTGTTTGTTAGGTCCCACGGTAACTGCCTTTGCTCAACCCCTTCATTTGCACATTTGAATAACATACAGTTCTCTGGGGGTTTGTTTTCTAGAACATGTTTTGCGTTTGCTTCAATTGCAGTTAATAATGGGGCCTGTGAAGAGAAACGGGGCGACTCGCGCTTCCCCTGGAGGGGTGTTTTGTGCTGTGACGGTGTCCTGAGCTGCCGTGCGTTGTTGAATAGACCAGACCTCCCTCCCTCTAGAAATCATAGAGCAGAATGTTGAACTGTGCCAGCTGTTGTGTTTTTGAATCCTCAAGTTTACTTGGTTCTGTTTATCCCCAAAGTTAGAGCTTTTTATACTGTTTGTTTTTGTTTTTTTAATAATTAATTATGTTTCCATTTTATTTTGATTGAGCAACTTCAAACTGAATCAAAGCTGGTATTTTGTCTCCCGTTTTGGGAATCATCAGAAGGTTAGAAACTCGACAACACTATGTTTGGGGAGAGGGAAAGGTGGAACACAAAGACGGCTAATTTCAGTCAGGAGTTTGTAAAGGAACGGTGTTGCCGCGTGCTCTGGGGCCCTGCCTGCACCTGAGATTGCAGAGAGACAGGGAAGTTTCTGCCCCAGGTACTGTGGAGTTTTAC